AGTTTATAGTAAACTAGTATACTATCGCAAATTTCAGCCTCGATATATTCTTATAAAATATATTCTTTTATAGAAAATAGCGTACTTGACACAGCGAGGTGAAACTGTATTGGCCAAGGTACAATGTTATGACTTTGTCTTACCTTTTTGGCATTGGGCTACGCCTTTCACATTCTTTGGACCATATCCGGCCGGACAGTGAGAGAAGCAGAAGTCGTGTTGCTCCCATGACATCCCTACAGAAAGCCTGTAAAAGCCAGACTCACATCGGGCACACTTATTCGGTTGATTGGTCCAAGCTCTAGGACAAGACTCGCATTTTGCCACCACGCAGGCTAAAAGAAATAAAAAAATAAAATGCTGATTGACAGAGGACAGACAAGGTGATGTGGTAATGTAAAGAAGAACTACAGCAGATGCTGTCGACCAGATTGAAAATCCTTTCTAAGAGATAGGATTCAAAGTGATCCCAAAGTTTTTATTTTCGTGCAAATGTTTTGCTCTGGAGAGAACTTTTGTTCTACTACAAACTGTGTTTATTGTGCAAATTTTGAAGTTGCCTGACATGGAGCTTGAAATGCAATAGTGCAATAGACATATTCTTCAATACTCGGGGCTTGAAGGTTTTGTATTTCTGTTACAGATTCTTCCCCTTTTCTGCAGGCCTTAGTTATCAGAATATTGCGTTCCCAGACATCCATCGTGAAACCAACAGGATCCTCCTCAAGTTCTGCATCGCTCAATTTTCTTATAAAGGGTATATAAAGATAAAAGCCGGCTGAGAAAAAAGCTTCTTGATTTACGTGTTTATTTTATCTTCCAAGTGAATAAGGATGTGGGATTCGCGGCAAAAAACTTCGTATTGATGGCACACTTTACTGAAAAGTGTCTACAATGATTGTCTGCGCTTCAGTACATGTACTAATCAATCAAATATTCCTACAGGGATCTTTAGGCCTTTATTGCTACGCCACAAGGACGTATTTTTTGGGCTCCATAGGGGCCAGTAAGTAAGGACTGGATGTCGGGCGACTGCTGTCTTAGAGTAAATAGAACATAACTTGTGACACTTACATCTGACACATTTGTTTCCACCGCTGGGGTTCACCCCTGTTTTATAACCTTTTGGACATTTACGAAGGCAGCGACCTTTACCGAGTCCCCGAAAGCCTTTGAAAAGCGCATGTCCTTGCTCACATACAGAGCAAAAACTACCTTGACACGTTTTGCAATTTGCCGTACAATCTGAAGAAGGAAAAAGATGATGATGATGATGATGATGATGATGATGATGATGACGATATGGTGGAGGGGGGAGACGAGGGGTCAGAACCTCCCGCTTCCCGTACATTGCTCTCCCGCTTCCCGTGCCTTTATCTCCCAACTCCCGCCCTTGTCTGTTTTTCTCCCGTCCCCTGTGAAAAATTCTTTGACAGCTTAAGTGACAACATTTTATGGCCTATGACGCAACCACTGCAAAAGGGTTTCCAATTTTACCGGGAGTAAGCCACAGATTTTTTAGGTCAAGGCGAATTTTCGTTTTATCGTCGGCCCGCAAGTCTCAAAATAAGCTAAATATAAGTCAAATAACATTTTGGGTTCTGGTTTTTGAAAGAATTTTAACGCTTAATAAGTGATTCCCGCCTTCTTAGAAATCTTGCTTTCCGCCCTTTCCTCTCCTGCTTCCCGCTCTTTTTCTTCCCACCTCCCGCCCCCTATTCTCCCGAACTCCCGCCCCCCTGTCCGCCTCCACGAAGATGCGGAACTGGACTAAAATGTTACTAGAGTATCGTATGGCAGAATAAATCCACTAGTAATTATTTAAAGGGCAGTAAATGATTTTGCTGCAATCATCAAGCCTGTCGCTCCAACCTTTTTAGGTGATTGAATCGCCTATGCACATTGTTGCTGAAAAATGTGCTTCACAATCAAATCAGTCAAGATCATTTCCTTAAGATACTTACGCCTGACGCACTCGTTTCCACCCGCAGGATTCACCTTTGCTTTGTATCCAGTGNTCCAGTCAAAACGCGTTAAGAAAGGACAAATATGGACAAATACTGCAATTTTTACTCAAAACAAACTATTTGCTCTGTTGCAAATATGCAACGATAACTTCGTTTTTCACCTTCCGTTCTACTTTAACGCAGACACTTCTACCTCGTTGATGGAACCCTTTGTAAAGCGTATGTCCATACTCACACACAGAGCAAGAACCACCTTGACATAACTTGCAATTTGCCGTGCAATCTGAGGAAGGAAAAAGATGCTGATGCTGATGCTGCTGATGACAGTGTCACTAGAATATCTTATGACAGAGTCTGGTGATTTTTTTTAAGGGACAGTAAAGGATTGTGATTGCACTGCAATCATCAAGCCCCCTAGTCTCAGATGATTGAATAACCTACTGAGACTGTTGCTGAACAATGTGCTTCACAATCAAATCAATCAAGATCACTTCCTTAAGATACTTACGCCTGACGCACTCGTTTCCACCCGCAGGATTCACCTTTGCTTTGTATCCAGTGGGACATTTCTTAACGCAGACACTTCTACCTCGTTGATGGAGCCCCTTGAAAAGCGCATGTCCATGCTCACACACAGAGCAGAACCTACCTTGGCATTTCTCGCAATTTGCAGTACAAGCTGTAGAAATAATAATAATAATAATAATAATAATAATAATAATAATAATAATAATAATAACATGTACACAAAGGATAGCGCTTTAGTTGTAAGTAATTTCAATTTTTACTAAATACATATACCAGAGGAGAATATCTATTCTGTTTTCTTCTTTATTTCAGTTTGCTTCAATGAAAACTTTTCAAGATTCCAATATTTGGTACTTTTTAAAAATAGGTACCCAATGGGTACTTGTGTCTACTGCAATGGAATGCAATATGTTTACAGGTGGCAGTTGAGTGGGTATATACTTAGCTATGCCGACATTTGTGAGAACTGTCACTGTGGAAAAACTTATCCCGAATTATCTTAAAAGAGGACGATAAGTTCTTGGATGACTAGATCTGTACAGACTGTCACTGATCTGATTCAAGAAAATTTTAAAATATTGGTTAAATCGCAGTAGATGATTTACAGTGAAAACCAGACACTGAGGAATACTTCAACTGAACACGCCAACCGTTTTTACCGAGGATGATGACTGTTTATGAAAAACTCTGACTCGTAACCAGTCAAAACAGAACTATTTAAATCATTTACTGCAATTTAACCAATATTTAAATTTTCTGTTTCATGGATCAGATCAATGATAGGTTATGTAGACTTTTCCCTTCAGAACTCGGCCTTAGATACTTACACTTGACGCACTTGTTTCCACCCATGGGATTCACCTTTGATTTGAATCCATTGGGACATTTCTTAATGCAGCGACCCATACCCAATCCCAAGTAGCCTTTGTAAAGCACGTGTCCATATTCACATACGGAGCAAGAAAGCCTGTTCTGACACGTCTTGCAATTCTGGGGACAGTCTGAAAGACAAAAATAAACGTTATACATTGCAGTACCTTAACAAAATAGGCTCCAAAGTGAGGATGTTTAGCCATTTAAAATGCAATCAAATAGCATGGCATGAAATGATTGTCTATCGTATTTGCGCGGTTAGAGGCAAATCAATCAGTCAATCAATCAATCAGTCAGTCAGTCGGTCAGTCAGACAGTCAGTGAGTCAGTCAATCAATCACATTAATAAGTCAGTCAATCAGTCAGTCATTCTGTTAGTCAGTCAATCAGTCAGTCATTCTGTTAGTCAGTCAGTCAGTCAGCCAATCAGTCAGTCGGTAGGCCGATCAATTAATCAATCAATCAATCAATCAATCAACCAGTCGATCAATCAATCAGTCAGTCAGGCGAACAAGGAAGAAAGTAATTGATTGAGTGTTTTATCACAGATGCCTGATTACAGTTTATAAATGTATTTTTGTTTCTAAACCGTAGCCAACATTTGTAATCAGCCTTTTACTAGTCTACCTGGGTCGATGTGAAAATTTCTCCAGTTAGTGGAAATAGACTAACTGGTAAAAAACTAACAGTATTCATCCAAACCTTGCTTCTCAACGCATGTTCCTTGGACGCTGTGAAGACCAGGGGAACATGACTCTCGGCAAGCGTACCCAAGGGGAACCTTTTCTCTGAGAAAACCATGGTCACACTGGTCACATGAAAACGGCTTGGAATGACATATCTTGCAGTTCTGTAACTGGCACCCTAGGGGTAAGAATAAGAATAACAACAAACGTAAAAGCTTTGTGCTGGTCGTTGAAAAGTTTAGCCTAAATATTCTCAGTTCACCGTTTGTAATCCGTGTTAATCCTCTCCATCCTTAACCATCCTTGTGCCTTTATGATTTGTTATCTCTTGATGTTTTTCTATATTGGTAAACTACTATTTTCAGGTTTCCTGCAATTTAAAGGTAATTTTGTGCGTGGGTAAAATACCTGGAAAAAAAGAGCTCCTCAGTTTAAGTAGAGAAGAGGATTGCACTTGTGTCCTAAGTTCTGGGAGAACCTGGGACTACGATTCATCTGGTGCGATTCACCAGCATTCTGTCTTACCCCTCCACGCTAAAACGGCGGTGCTGTGCTTTCAAACGGTTTCCGGCATATGAGGCCCAAGCGATTTAGGAAGTCTCGAATTTTTTTTTCTTTTTTTTTTTTTTTCATCGTTTTCTATTTATTTATTTATTTATTTATTTGATATTCAATCAATTAATTATTTCTTTTTTTAGCTCGGCCAAGAAGTTTTGACAGTAGTTTGGCTCGCCATGCAACACTATATAATTAGCATTCCCTTTCTTTGCACCATATATGCCCTACGGATTGAAATCGGTTTGTGTATTTTTCTTTCATAAGAGAGAAAATAAAAAACGGACACTTGATCCCTAATCTCCAATGTCTTTTTTGCCCTTTCAGGGCTATCATCGGAAAGGGCTGGGAATGAGGATGTCCATTTGGTTTGTACTGAAAGCATGACGTAGGAGCAATGATGTGGCACTTTTTCGCTTAAGACAAATAGCCTGGGTGGTTCTGGAAACTCTACTGCGGTAGCCTGTCTGGGAAAATCTTTGAAAACAAAACTTATTCGTCAATTCTTAAAGCATTTTGGATTATGTCAGTTCCTTTGTTCAGTCTGATGATATCTGATAGGTCTTCTTCCTCTCATATTCTGCGTATTTCTCTTGATGAGCTTTCATGTACACATATAAGTGTGCATGAAAAAAAAAACAGAATTTCAACTTTGATCTTTGCAATCAACAATGAAAGAATTTAAATCTGTTTTAATGTGCCTTTCTCTACGTAGCAGTATATGCTGTTGTGGTGGTGTTAAACATGTCCCGATTGGACAACTGGTGATGTGAAGGTGAGCCTCTGCGCCGGCCTGAAAATAAAGCGTCGTAACACAAATGACTTTTCTTACCGTTTGGTTTCTTTGGTCCGTGCTTACCAGGTGTCCGTGGTAGTCTGGCGCTAACAGCGATTACCACGATCAATAACACGATCAGAAGCAAAGCCTTCTTCATTGTTTAAACGGCAATTTCGACGGCGTCAAGCTTCGAATCAAGAAAACAGCTACAGTGTTTGCGAGTTCCTGTTTGAAATAGAATCGTGCCACGGCTTCACGGGGCAGTAGCTGTAGAAAGACGTACTCAACAACCGGAGGTATTAAGTATCATACCCTACTGAATACGTGCGGAGAATATCGATAACATTTGGTAGGGTCCTGCAGGGGATTGACCTCGAAAATGAAACACTTTGAACTCGCAGTAGGAATTGTGTCCAGCTGCTTTTACTTACTACTAGCAAAACTGTTTTTGTATCAAGTTGCAAGTTAATTTTCATTTTTTTTATAAGGATTTTTATAAGGATGATAATTTACGTATACTGTACATAAAAATGCAGTCTCATGGTAATGGTTTGAATCCAGGAGTATCATTAGGTCAGTATGACTGTCTGGGTGAGGGTAGTTCTAAAAATAATGTTGGCGACTGACGTTTCAACAACCTAAGCCTAACCTGAGCCTAAGCGGAAGTCATCTTCAGAGTCAGATGAAAAAGTGTCAGTTGATGTTATTTAATTAACTGATTAGTAAGTTTGGCCGTGATGTTATTGGCGTAACACTCGAAGATTGATCTACGATTGAATGTACATTTGACGTCAGTGAGTGCATACGTTATAAATTATGTTGTTTGTAATCACGATCAATCTGCACGTTCCTTCCGCATGATTGCTACCGTTCCCTTCCATCTTACAGAAAAAGTTGAGCAATCCTTACGACTGATCTCTTCGATTAACAATTAGCGATCGTTGGACAATTTAAAGAGACACTGCCACCATTTTTGGCATAATTTTGGAATCTCAAAAACATATATCGATCATCGGAAGCTGACCAATAATAGTTTTATTTTGTAGAGCAGTATTCGACAAATGATTAAAGCCCATTAGGAAGTAAGGATGGTTAATGATGGCGAGGATGGAAACAGATTGTGATATGGATTTCTGAAAAAGCGTTAGGCTGTTAGTTTTTCAAAGGTTAAAGTTTGGCTCGAAAATCGCTGAAATTTTGCAAAAATGTTGCTGCAGTGTGGATCTTCTTCAGGAAATTGCTTTTAATCATTTCGTTAATGCTAATTAAGTTCTTATTGCTTAAATAGGGACCATTTCGTGAATTTATAACAAAGTTTTAAGCAAAAATATCGTGACAGTGTCCCCTTAAATGTCAGTTTCGATCAGTTTATACTTGCTCAATTTTGGG